AAGGAAAAGAAAGAAAGGGAGAACAGAAAAAAGGGAGAAAGAACAGAAAGAAGGAAAGAGAGAAAGGAAAGAAGGATAGAAAGAAAAGAAAGGTAGTCTTAAGGTAATATTTACTTTTGTTGTGTGATAAGAATACTATACTGTTTCTTCCAAGTATCTAAATCTGAAAGGCAAATTCTCCTTCATTGCAACACAGTTAAATCTCTTGTCTGTATAGAGGAATACAGATTCCTGGGGTCAACACAAGGTGGCCATTTCAAGGAATGTTTCAACTTTATTAACCTACAGGGCTTCCATGGATGGTAACAGCATCACTTAGGAAGATTTCAAACTTAATTAAAATTAGAGGAACTTCTTTACTTATAGGAAAGAAATATTTCAATATAATTTGTATATAAATAGTTTATGAAACCTAGGGAACAATCAGTCAGTTTAATAGGATTTTAAAATAATTTCCTTAGTTGGTATTAAACATTTCCAACACAGCTGGAGAAGTTTCAAAAGTTGTAGCTAGTAAACAGCTACAATTAATAAAAAGCAATCACCTTAATACTTATGCAGATACTTAAAGGTAAAGAGACTGGTTTTTTTCCCTCTACTCCATATAATTCATATCCTCATTCCCTTGTTCCAGCTAAACATGATGGCCTCATTTTCCTTGCAATGATGCACACAGACATATGATATTGTTCTGCTGATAAGCCCGTAGTACTGTCTCCTGGGGGCTTCTGAGGAATATTTCTTCATACTTATAAGGAGATGAAAAAGAAAAAGTCTTTTTTATGGTCATGGTTATGTTTTAATGTAATTCCTGGAACTGCAGCAGTCATTTTGTCACCTTCAGGGTCAAGTCCATGGTTCAGGATGGTAAAATAGGAAGATGAAAAACAGTTACAGTGTTCCATAGAATATATCGGTGTTCTCCATAGAAACATAACCAATAAAAGCATTTATTGCACACATATATGTATGTATATCACACACATATAAATATATGTTATATATTACACATTATGTATATATAATATATTATGGGTTTTGGCTCATGCGCTTATGGAGGGTGAGACATCCCACAATACATTGTGTGAAAGCTGGGGAAACAAGAAAGCTTTGGTGTCATTCAATGCAAGTGCAAAGGCCTGAGAATCAGGCATGGTTATGCAAGTGCTACTAAGTAAGTCCTATGATCTACACACTCAGAAATAGGAACTCTACTACTGTTCAAGGGCAGGGGCAAGATGGATATCTCAATTCAAGATGGGATAATAATTCCCTGTTCTATTTGGTCTTGCCCTCACAAATTTGATGATATCTAACATCATTGGTTAGGGGCCCAAAGGTTAACCTGTTCTGGAAATATCCTGAAAGGCACACTCACAAATAAACATTTTACACATATCTAGGCATCAGTTCACCAGTTGAGGTCAACAGGTAAATTAATCATTGCAGTATTGTATTGTGAAATTGAGCTACTTAATTAACCAACTAAACAACTAACTAAACCTGGATCATCCTTACCAGTAGATTTCTGATATATGGGATTAAAAAAAAAACTTAGGCCAGTAGAATCCACTTTCTGCCAGGGTTCTCTCAACTGAAGACAGAAGAAAAAATCTACTTCAGCTGACTGGAATATATTATTTCGCTTGAGAGCATTCTAAATGGTACAACATTACAAGTTATACTTTGAAATTTCTCTGAGCCTCTGTCTTGATCTCTGCCTCTAGGCAGTTCTGCCTTTCCAATTTCTTGGTCCTTGCCATTCACACCACCTTTTCACAACTCAGATTTGATCATACTACATTGCTGATTAAGTTTTTTCAAAGGTTATTATTATTATTATTTGCTTTCTTAGTCTGGGTCACAGACCTTTGCTCACTAGATACAGGATGGATGGTGTGGCATCATGTTCCATCATGTCAGGTCACACAGATACTCGAATGCTAGACATTTCAGCTACTGTTATTCATTGTTTGGGCATTCTATGTTCTGTCTCCTCCGTGCTTTACAAAGGCTGTTCTCATTATCTGGCACCGTTCCCTACCTAATGGATTATTCCCAATTTAGCCTTCAAGACTGAGTATGTTTTGTTGAGTTCACTGCCAAGTTTCCCAGGGTTGTCAGATGCACCTTTACAGTGCTCTCAGCACCTCCTGAGTGGACCCCCTACTAATGTACCTGACACTTCAGTGTAGTTGTCACACTGTTTCCCATATCTGACTATATTGCCTGGAAGTGGGAAATGAGTTTTATTCATCTTACCACTTCTAGTGCATAGCATATCACCCAACGCAAAGTAAGTAGCAAATGTATATTAATGAATATCAAAATAATGATAGATTTGGGCTTATGAACATACTTCTATTCTATTTGGGTGACCTACTTCAGGTATTATATAAACATAACATCTTCTTCAAGGTAGGGGGCAAAAAAGAGAGGGAGGAAAACCTATAACTTAGTAACATTCATTGTCAAAATTCTAAGGAGGTTGGCATGGTGGTACGTGTCTGTAACCCATAGAGGAGTTGTTGGTTCAAGGCCAGTCCAGGCAAAAAGCTTAAACACTTTCTCTATCAATAAGCTGAGTGTGGTAGCATGCATCTGTTATTCTAGCTATGCATGAGGCCTAATTAGCAGAATTGATGTCTGAGACTTCAGGAAAAACACAAGATTGAAAGCTAACTAGAGCAAAAAGAGCTGGAGACATGGTTCAAGTAGTAGAGTATCTGCATAACAAGCACAAGGCCCTGAGTTCAAATCCCAGTACTACTTCTAAATGAACAAACAAAAGTTTCTGGAGGAAGGAAAGTGGTTTACAAGACCTGATTTTGCAACCTGTGTTCTATAAGAGAGGCCCATTCCTAGGCAGCATGAAAGAGGGTTTGACTTAGTAAGAAGCCTATGTAGAAGTGCAGGGATTTCCAGTTAAATCATTTTTTACTAGACTAGTGAGACCCAGAGGCTGGTAAGAAATATATACATAGTCAATTTAAACAGGTTGTCATGGACTGTCATGTAGCTAGAGTAAACACAGTGAAGGTTAAGAATCAAACATCCAGTCAAATCTGTTTAGAGAGAAGAACTGACGTCCTCATGTTGGAAAATGGCAGCCTCCCCCTATCTAGATCACCTGGAGGACATTGGGAAACAGCCTGCAGGTGTAAAAGACCTGTTGGCCAGAGCAGGCCTGTAGCATGATCTCTCCTACCCACTGCAGCTTTCTTTTGGTGTCATTGTGAGATCCATCTGATGGAAAGAGGGTGAGGAGATGTTGTCAAATTCATGGAGAGCTGATGCAAAGATACATTCTTGCTGGGTGAAGACCTTACCCATGTCTTTTGTCATTGTTGGATTGAGCAGGTGGAATGAATACATCTCCTTCCACTGGCTGTATTTATCTCCCCTATCTCTTGGCAGCTATCTGCTATATGGGTCAGCCTGTCTGGAAAAGATCATGCCAACCCCAGAAAAAGCTGAGTCCCTTCTGCCTGCTGTGGGCCAAACTGGTGACCATACAAGAAAAAAAAAATATATATATACACTATATATATAGTGTATATATGTGTGTATATATATATATATGTATATATATATATTTATACACACACTAGGGGAACGTAAGTCACAATAAATGAAGATTTCTGTTCTTCTACTTTTATCCCTCTTATACCTTACTTAATGAAATATGCAACAATTATGTATTGAGTGCCTACTATGTGTCCAGTGTTGTTGGATGTGTTAGGGAATGTATTAGTGGAAAAAATAGTCTTCAGAAAATGCTAGCTCTATAAATTAGCTTCAACCAATCATTTCATCTTTCTGAATCTTTCCCTTGTATTTGTTTATGAACCATTCGCATCTTTGTGGGCTCTTATGTGAAAGTCATGGCTAAGCACCTGGATATATTATTCATATATTATTCCCTCTAGAACCAAGGACAGTTAAGAGGAAGTCATGAATCAAATTTGTTTCTTTGTTTTCAGCAATCCACACTGATAGACCTTGAATTGATTTTTTTAACAAGAGTTTCATGGACACAGGCAGTATTCAGTCATCTCAGCTTCCCTTTACCTGCACAATGCCTTAACACTCCCTCAGGGGCAATGAACACTGTCCATATGCACAAGCACAGCTCATCTCTTCTCTGGTTTGGTCAAGACCTTCACTGACAAGCTCCATTTGGACACTATACTACTCTATGTGGACACCAAAATTTAGAAGCTAGTCTGAACAAAGGAATTTTTTTTCCTATAAAATTCAGTCAGCCATGTCTGAAAGGCACTAAGGGGAGTCTTTATGTTCCTCTCCCACAGTCTCAGATTCTGTTGACGTGGAAGCTAGACTGGAAATAAAAGCAACACTGATTTTCCTCGGAGAGAAAACACATCACCAAGCTTTTTTTTTTTTTTAAGTCTTGATTGTTCAGTGAGATTTTTTTTTATTTTACAAATCATGTGACACTGAAGTGGCACTCGGATTACATTTCTGACACTATTACTGGGTACAGCTTCTAGTCTGTCTCCCAGATAGAGCTATCTGAGGGTTTTTCCTCTTGGTAGAAACAGCAAGATTTCTGGTCCCCAAAGTACACAATCTGATTTAAGCACAATTCAAGAGAACTACCAGCAGATGATACAACAAAGCAAATAACAGGTTTGTCAATTTAGCTAAAATAAGTGGTTTTACTCAGAACACAAGGGGAGTGTGAAACACAACTGCAAAAATAATAACTATGTAAGTTTTTTTGTGTGTGGGGGGGGCTTCCCCGGGGTATCCTTTCATCTCCAAAAGAGAACTCGAGAGGAACTGGAGGGAAGAAAATAAATGGGAAATCTAGGAACATGTAAACATTATTAGGAAGTACAGTAGGAGAAAGGGGGCCACCGTTCCTGTCACCTAGAGACCTTGCTGCCTGTTCTGTAAATGGCTGGGCGCCGTCCACGTGTAGCTTTGGAGTCTGAGCCTCCGGGACAGATGACCTCCCGGAGCCGAGGAAGTATCTAGAAAGCGCTTTCGCAAGAGCAGGGCAGCGGTCTGGGAGGCGGCGGGGGTGGGCGCAAGCAGCCCTGGTTTCCCTGATCCCGCCGAGCGTGGTGATAATGGGGATGGGGCCAGCGGTGGCGGTGGAGTGCCTGGTGGTCTCCGATCCCGCCGCTGTCCTCGGGGACTCCCTCCCGCGCGCCACACACAGAGGCCAGATGCCTTCGCAGCCGCCTGCAGAGCCGGCCGTCGCCCGCCTGGAAGTAGAGGTAGACGAAAGGATTGAGGGCGCTGTTGCACACCCCGACTACGCGCACAGCCACCTCCAGGCCCTCTCCCTCCCAGTCTCGAGTGGGGCCGTACGACCACGCGGCCACCAAGCGGGTGGCGAAGTAGGGCAGCTCGCAGCCCACGAACAGCAGAGCCAGCACCAGGCTCATTTTCAGGCTCTGCACCTTGGCGCGGGGCAGCGCGCTGGGCGCGGAGGCTGGGGCCGGACTGGCTGAGCCGGGAGCTGCAGCCGGAGGTGCCAGGGGCCGGCGCTGCCACCAGGCACGCAACAGGTGGCTGCCAGCGACGCCCATGACCGCGACGGGCGCCGCGAAGCCTACGAGCACTTCGTACAGCGCGTAGACCTGCAGGTGCCAACGCGGCAGAGGCGCGAAGATGCCACGGCAGCGACGTTCCCCCGGCCAGGCGCGGGCGGCGGGGGACGCGGCGGGCGAGTCGCCGCGCACCACGAAGGTCGGAGGCAGCGCCAGCAGCAGCGCCAGCAGCCAGCCCAAGGCGGCGAGGGCGCGCGTGGACATCGGCGGCCCCAGCGGCCGGCGCACGGCGCGCTGGCGCTCGAGGGCAATGAGCGCCACGAAGTGGGCGGAGGCCCCCCGGCCGGAAGCCCGCAGCAGCTGCGCCAGGCGGCAGGCCAGGTTGCCTGCAGCCGGGCTCGGCTCGCCCAACAGTTCCCAGGCTAGTTGCGAGAGCGCCGTGCCACCGCACGCGTACAGATCGGCCACAGCCAGATGCACCAGCAGGAAATCCATCTTGCGCCGCTTCGGCCCTGCCCAGGACCCGCGGCCGCCACATAGGCGGCACAGCACCGTGATGTTGCCGGCCACTGCCGCCACCAGGATGATCCCCAGGAACACCAGATGGACCCGGTGCCCGGCCGGTAGTAGCTGCGGTCCCGGGGTCAGGACTCCCTGTCCCGAAGTTAAGTTGAGACCCCAGCTCAGCAAAATGGGTACGGAGAGGTTGGGCGCAGGCGGCACCGTGGAGGGGTTGAAGGGATAGTCCATCCTTCGCCGACAGCTAGCGGAGGCACCGAAGAGGGCGGGAAGGGTACGAGCAGCCAAAATGGAGACGAGGTGGCGCTGAGTTCCCAAAGTTAGTTGAAAACAATAACAACAGCAAAACAAACACTGAGAGGGAGATGGATTCCAGTGGATTTCCCGTTCGTTGTTTTTGTAGGTTGTCCTTGTCGTTTGTCACTCAAATGTGGGTTGTACATTCGAGGAACACACATGATTCTTGTTCTCCACCTTCCCCGCGTCTAGACCCCCCAATCGAGCAGATTCTCTTCCAATCATTGCTACAACCCCCCTACACTGTCCTCTGGGCACCTCATCCAATGGCTGTTTACTGGTAGAGCATAGAGAGATGTTTGCTTTGGTTGGCCATTGTAAAGGCTAAAGTTACCCAGGACCATCATGCCAGCTTCTGAGAATTCTCCCATCTCAAAGAATTTTGCGATTGCCAGCTAGAAAGCAAAAGAAAGACGGAAAAGGAAGGCACAGGAAAAAAGAAAAGGAAAGGAGCTAGTTTTGCTTTAAAACAGGACACAAACGTTCTGAAATACCATAGCTATGCACTTAGCAGGGACATAGGAAACTCAAAGGTTGTTCTCCAGTGTCTCTTGCACAACCTTGTTGGTGATGGAAACTCAGGCCTCACACATATTTGGCAAACACTGTACCACAAAGCTACATCCTAACCCCCAACAGTGTTTTGAGCTGGGGGCACGGGGAGAGGGGCTCGGAGCGGAGGGGAGAGGAGTCATTAGATGCATCTTTGATGAGGATATGTGCTGCAGCAAAAGAGAGCTAAGGGGCAAGACTGTTGCCAGACAATTAGGAGTGACAGTGGTTGGCACTCCTTGTTACTAGAAACATCCGATGACAGCTGTTCTCGCCTCTCAGTCACATTCGTTTCATTAGTCTGAAGAGGGCATTAATAGGTTTTATGCAAATGTTCACAGAGGCACTTCCTATCCCCTAGTATTTAAATCCAGTAAGGGATGTGTCACCAGGCTCCTCTTTGCCCGTTCTGTTTTCCAGCAGATGGGAGGTTGCTAGGAGAGACTACGCCTCCAGTAAGCCTAGAGAAAAAGTGACTAAGAAAACGATAAGGCAGCCAATTTTTTTTTTAAGAAATCCAAGTCACAGGAAATGCTTTACATTTAATGCTGCCTCTTTTAGCGGAGCGCCTTCACAAACAAATTTTAGTTTCCCTGCTGTAAGCATCATTTTATCATTTGTGCATCCTCCACATTCATCATGGTAAAAGTAGAGTTTCCTGGATTACCTGGTCTGGGGACCAGGGAGGTGTGGCTATCTCCTGGGGTCCCCATTCCCAGGCTGAAGAAACACTTGTCTTTGAAGGAGGCTTAGATGGGCTATTGGTGACAATTCTATGAGTTGTGGGAATCTCACTTTCTAAGGTCTTGTTCATCAAGATAACTTTAATGTCTCATATTGGGACCAGATACATGGCTGATATTGGTGAATATGTGTTGTTGGTGAATCAGAATAGAATGCATTTCAGATAAAGCAAATTCTTACCTTGACTATAAATCCATCACATTAGGAAAATGCTGTGTGTGTGTGTGTGTGTGTACACGCGTGTGTACTGGTGCTTGAACTCAGGTCCTTGAGCTATTGCTTAGCTGGTGCCCTACCACTTGAGCCACACCTTCACTTCTAGAAAATGCTTTTAATATTCATGCAGGAAACACCGTGGAGTCGCTATGGATGGGAATGTCTTGGATGGGTATTTAAGAGTTACAGTCAACGCCCTGCAAAATATAAAATTCTAGTTGGATTTCACAATCTTTTCTTAAAGAGTTTCTTTACAGGCCCTTTCTGTGTAATGTGCACCATTCCAGCTTATGATCCACTCTGGGCAAAACCATCGTTCTTTGATTCTCCTATAAAATGTTAGTTCAGTGTCTCTCAAGATAATTCTATAGTTTATTTCAGAGTTGTTGGAATGCTCTTGTGTACCAAAAAGCAAGACTTTGAATTTGAAGCTTAGCTTTAGTAAGGCTCCACCAAACCATTCATTTAAAGAACTAACCATTTATTTTAGTACCAGGAATTAAACTCAGAGGCTTCTGGCTTGCTTGTCTGGGTCGCTCATGGCCGGTGCTCTAACAATTCCAGATCCTCTTTTTGCTGGTTAATTGGAAACAGAATGTTTTCTTCCCTGGCTGAGCCATTGATACATCTTAAAATTAATTCTTATAAAATGATACATGTATATAATTTTCTAAGTCAGCATAGAAATAGAAAGCCGTTATCATAAAGGGTACTCATCCTCACATATTCTCCTTTTATCTACTCCCTTCTAGAGGGAACTTTAGATCTATTATTTTTTTTTGGCATTTACTTAATTTTATATTCCTAGTGTATAATGTTATTGACCAATATTTTTTTCTATTAACTTGCTAGATATAAAGCTTTCATTTCTTTTTTTCTTTTATTTCTTTTTTTATTGTGAAAATACTGTACAGAGGGGATACAATTACATGGGCAAGATAATGAGTACATTTCTTATTAAGCATTGTAGGCTCCTCCTTTGTTTCCCCTTCCCATCCCTTCCCATCCTCCCCCTGTCCCCCTACTCAAAAAGCTTTCATTTCTTACCTTTATCTCCACTTGTTTCCATTTTCTTAGTATTACCCTAGTTCAAGGCCCACGACTGACCAAAAAAGCAACAAAGACATAATCTTATAAATATGTTAGAAACAATCCCATGAAAGATCTCTCTCTTTTTTTTTTTTTTTGGTTGGTCTTGGGGCTTGGGCTTGGGTGCTGTCCTTGTGCTCTTCAGCTGAAGGCGAGCACCCTACCGCTTGAGCCACAGGGCCACTTCCGATTTTCTAATAGTTAATTGGAGTTAAGAGTCTCACAGGCTTTTCTCCCCGGGCTGGCTTTGAACTGTGATCCTCAGATCTCAGCCTCCTTAGTAGCTAGGATTACAGGTGTGAGCCACTAGCACCCGGCTCCCTAATCTTGTTAGACCTATATCAGGGTTTCCATTATGGAAAAATGGAAATATTCTGGGTATTTTTGTATATTTTAATGATCATTATTATCTTTCTTCTTTTTTATTTTTAGTTCTAGGATTTGAACTCAGGGTCTTGTACTTGCTAGGCTGGTGTCCAGCAATGATCCATACCTCCTGTCTTGTTTTTCTTTAAGTTAACAAGTGCCTTTTCTTAATTTTCATTGCTACAACAGCTAATTCTATGCTTTCATGTAGTCACTTCGTAAAATTTGTATACCATCAGATTCACAGCATAATATAGCAACTCCATTCCCCTTCCTCCCCACACAAAAACCTTTCCAGACATCTCCATTTTTCTCCTAATTGGTGTTAATTGTCCCCCCTGCCCCTCCCCCACTGCAGCAAAACTATAGCCAGGGTCTTCTCACTGTGGTCCTCACTGAAACTCTGCTTTTGTCTTGGGTTACTATGGTTCCTTTTCCTTGGAACTGTGCTTTATTTTTGTTGTATTTGTTGACTTCTCTTTTAGTACAACAAACATCTCATAAGGCTTAAAAAAAGTTTGTACAGAGGTGAGGACTAAGCAATGAGAGGCCTCTTTGTGTTTATTACTGGACTGTCTTGGACAAGTGGTCCTTTAGCCTATTCTCATCCTGGCATCTCACTTCACCAACATCCTACAGAGTCCTCTCACCTATGTTAATTCTAGTTTCTTATCTTGTGTGTGTGTGTGTGTGTGTGTGTGTGAGAGAGAGAGAGGAGAGAGAGTTTTCTTACTTGGTCTATCTCCCTGATTTGGCAGAAAATATCCTTAGAGATTGCTTGAGAAAGGGTAATGTTTAGCTGACATATATATGTTATATACATATAAGTTAGCATTAAATGGTTGTTCTGAGGCAAAGATTGTGACTTTTCATGTTATAAATGAAGAACATCCCTTCGCATATGCCGCCCCTCACCCATATTCCCCCCCCACACCAAAGTTGTAAAGTTCTTTTTTTTTATTGTGAAAATACTGTACAGAGGGGTTACAATTACAAGGGCAAAATAATAAGTACATTTCTTATCAAGCATTGTAGCCTCCTCCTTTGTTTCCCCTTCCCATCCCATCCCATCCTTCACCCCCCCACCCAATCCTCCCCGCCCCTCCCCCCCAAAGTTGTAAAGTTCGTTTTCCACATAACGACTTGTACATCTCATTGTTGCAATCCACCTGATCCCTATTTAAACGATTTGTTTTTCGCCTTCCCCTCCACAAATTATACCAATATCAAATACAGTGAAAGCAGGGGTTATACTGTGGGGGGAGGGACATACAAAGCAACAAAGAAATAATCTTATAAATGTGTTAGAAACAATCACATGAAAGAAAAAAAACATTTGAATACATATCTTAGGGTTCATTTCCCTAACATCACCTTATCTGACCTTTTCTGCTTGACTCAGACATATACTAGATATTGCAAATAAGGGAAACCATGGGACCTATGTTTCTTTGGGCCTGGCTTACTTCACTTAATATGATTTTTTCCAAGCCTTTCCATCTCCTAGCAAATGGGGGAATGTCATTCTTTCTGATGGAGGCATAGAATTCCATTGTGTATATATGCTACATTTTCTTGATCTATTCATCTACTGAGGGGCATCTGGGTTGTTCCATATCTTAGCTATGGTAAATAATGCTGCGATAAACACAGTCGTGCTGGTAGCTTTAGTGTGGTCTTGTTTGTAAACATTTGGGTAAATGCCCAAAAGTGGGATTGCTGGGTCATAAGAGAGCTCTATGTGGAGTGTAAAGTTCGTTTTTTGACATAACGACTTGTACATCTCATTGTTGCAATGGGTCCACCTGTCTTTGTACATAGCATTTAATGAGTCCCTTAGGATAAAATATTAAAGTATTTTTAATACATGGTGCTGAATTGCCTTTAACAAGAAACTCAAAGCAATGTATGTGTTTTTCTCTATTGTCACAACAATATGGGCATCATATCATTTTTTAAACTTTTCA